TCAAAAGTTTGCCGAATAAATCGTATCTAAAATGTACAAAATATGATGAGTCTGTACTTGTGATTTATCATTCCATTCATATTTTTGGATTTGCATATGCAGGGTGACTCAAAAAAAATAATGAAGGCGTGAATTTATTTTATCGATTTAATCAGGAATTACAAAACCGAATGCTTTGAAATCTTGGGAATATTTTAAAGTTATTATAAGCATGGTAAACTTTTGTTCAAAATGTATTTGTTCATCCCTCCTAAAAAAATTGATGACGTCACCCTTAAATTTTGCTGAATAAATCCTATTTAAAATGCAAAAAATATGATGAGTTTGTACTTGTGATTTATCATTCCATTCATATTTTTTAGATTTTCTTAAGAGGTGGTTCAAAAAAATTAATGAAGTCAATTTATTTTATTGATTAAATTAAAGGCAACACTTATTATTAGTATTACACCCCAACCAACCCAATTTGGTAGACACAAAATTTGTTAAAGGAAAAACTCGGTTGAAACATAAGGGTAGCACGCTTATTTACATCGACTTTAACATTACAGACCTGCATTTGTTTTATGCGCTCACTTGGTTCCGCGAATGTGAAATAGACATGTTTATAATCAACCAATTGTGAATTTCACCGTCAAGAATTAAAATAAAACCCAATGTTTTATATAATAAGCGGAAGTCGAAGCAATAAAACCGATGGTCGTTTTGTTTACAGTTTCTGTTTCACTCTCACGTATGCTGTTACGCCTGTCATTTTAAATTAAGAATGTTTATACATACACGATTTTCAGTTGCCTCTGATACGTAGGTATACGTGAGTAAATTGTTTCGTTATTTTATTGATTATTACAAATCAATATTCAAAACGACCCAATTCATTTTCCCGAAAATTTGAGAATATAATAATTTTATTCTTAGTATTACACTACATCTATCCCAACTGATATACGTGTCCTTGCAAAAATGTTGATGACGTCATCGCAATTTTTTTTTAAATTCCCACTACAAAAATGTAATGAGAAAAAAAACACAATAGGCATGCAGTCGTCAAGTTTCCGACAGTGAGGGAAGTACTGTCTAAACTCTTTAGACCAATTTTTTGTTTTTGTAATTGATGAACAACCGTTTGTGTGAAATCTTTTTAGGCCGTAATATTCTGTACTTCCGACAACCGTCAATACAAGGAACAGAATTACTTCCATTGATGATGGTAAATGTTCTGGGTTGTTTTAGGAAAGCTGACACTTGATAAAATCTATAACAATAGATAGTTTAAATCGCATAAATAATAATCAGTGCGATGTCACAAACCTGCTTATATCAATATTTTCCTTCACAGGTAACATTTTCTTTAGAAGGGAATTATACGACCATAGTGACGAAGATTTAACATTTTTAGACCGTTCGAAATATAAGCCAAAATTGATCTTTCGTCTACTCCTTTGGCATGCTTTCGCTTCCTCCATTCAGAAAAATTCGTATACTCTTTTTAATATGAATGTTTGGATTTTGCTGGCACCACTTTATTGATATTTTCCAAAGCTTCGTCTAGGACTGCTGAGGGTACAAAAACTTCATTTCGTAAAAAACGGCAAAAAATTAATAAATGCGTCTAGGAAATGTTATCAAGCCAAATGACAATTATTTTTCAACCTGACTGCATTTAAAACAGTAATGATGAAGCCATCCATGCTCCAAAGTTTAATCGGTTTCCTGGGTATTTAGTATCCAAAAATAATTACCCTGTTATAAAACGGCAAATAATAATTCCAAGGGTTGCACCAGATATATTTTTTTATCGACACCCGTTATTCTACAGATTATGAATACTTCTTCAATTTTATATAGTAGCATTATTTTTTATTTCAGCTACATTAACGTCATTGAATAATGTTAAAGTTATAAATACTACTATTGTTTACAAATATTTTTTCTAGACATTGTTTGTTCAATATTTTTCACAGTAGGTAATTTATTAACACAATAAAAGCCTATTGTTTTAAGATATAAAAAATTAAAAAGTAGATAAACGATAAAAGCCCCAAATAAACACTAATATTTTACTTCGTTGTAAACAACCAGTTCAATATAACTATAAACCATCAGCTATGGATCTTGATACCATCGACACTCTTTTTAAATTTGGTTTTTTGCCAGGCTTAACACCATATTCTATATACGACAAAAAACTAACTTGTCTAAGGAAAACTTATATAGCGTTCTTAGTCATCTTTTATTCAGTTGGAGAGTTTGGAATACTGATTTATAAATTACCATTTTATAAAAGCTTCACTACTATACAGTTGATTCTACGAGTAATAATGGACGTTGATCTCTACTTAACAGTTCTCTATATTTTCATCATACCCATGACATTGAAACGAAATTTATGGTTTTCGTTAATCGATATTTTAACTCAAATTTCAACAAAAAGGAAGTGTAAAGGTGTGAGTTTTACTATATCGACTCTCATTCTTGCTTACTGGACTGCTGCTTTATATACGGCTTTTGTGTGGTGTAGTGACATTGGTTTATTGTTTATTAAGCTATACTTCTTTGAATCCTTAAAAGTTTACTCCCAGTACTACTTTACAATAATAACATTCATGGTTTTGAAAATGATACTCAGAAGATACAAGTATCAAAAGCGACTTTTACGTCGTAAAATTTCTAAGTATTTAACATCTCCAAAACACAGAACGAACATATTTGTGGTGCTAACAAAAGTCGAAAAAAATATTCTTTTGCTGAAAGAGGCGATCACTGTTTTTAACAACCTCTTCGGATGGATAATACTTTTTACTTTAATCTTTGCGGTTTGTAGAGCTCTGGTTTACCTTGATGTTAGCGTTAAAAGTGCTAATGATCTCAAAAGTGTTAATCTGCAGTATATCCGTATGCTTCTAAGCAGGATATTGATCACCGTCATTTGCTGGGTATGTTGACAAATGCCATTTGTGTAGTTAAGATTATAAATAAAAGTTTAGTGTTTTTTTCTAGTGAACGTATTTATATGTGACCAAATTGTTAAAGAACACGAAGAAATTTTGGATCTTTTTTTACAAATTGAATTACATTTAAACCTGAATAGGAATCAAAATCAGCGAACGTTGTACCTGATACGAAATGTCCGAGACAATACACCTCGCTTTACAGCGGCAAGATTTTTCTCAATTAATAGATCTGTATTTTTTTCTGTTTCAAATACAATCACTACGTTTTTAATTGTGATGGTTCAATTTAACATATAATAAACTGATGAAACTGTTCTATTTTGTTTTTCTTTAGAGTTATTAAAAAGTTATATATTTTTTATAGATCCTGCATAATAGTTTGGATATTTTCTACGTATTAAATTAAGATGAAATATTTGGTCAAAAAACTATAATGGTATTATTTCTTTAATTATAATTAATTATCAAGAAGCCTCGAATAATTTAAAACGCATTTTCCTTTTACTTCTAGCAGATTTAATATTATGATTTCTTAAATTTATTTGTTTATGACAACACTAAAAATCGATAAAAATCAAATGATGATAACCGTAAAAATACAAAAACCTTAATTATAAAAATAAGATAAACTCAAGGTGGAGTTATACTTAGCCATTGTTGTCCAAGATCAGTAGGTCATCATCAGATCTAGTGAACTATATTACAATGAACTGAATAATAAACATATGAAAATATATAATAATCACGTATTTATTTTATACAGCATTTTCAGTCTACAACTCACGATTAACAGCTCTATTCCTCTTCTCACGTATTGTAAGTACTTGCTAAATCTTTAACCACTCCACTTTCCATTTTCTTTAGATCCAGAATGCAACACCAGATTCTAACTTTTCTCACAATGGCAACTGTTCTCTGTTCTACTTCCTGGTTCACATGGAGCAGAGAAACGTATCTCATAATTCAAAATCGACGATTTTCGCCTATTGATTTTATCACAGTTCGAAACGTAGACAGCTTTGACTTTGAAAAAGGTAGTGGGCCAAGGGAGAAGTTCAACGGTATATCCATTCCTGCTAAACGCCTGGTTAAACGAAGGTTGGAGCTGAACCATTGGGCTTCGAACTGCCCAGTCACTATGGATCTGAATTTTAACGATGGCAGTAAAGCTACATTTACAATTAATATGAAGTATGCTCTTCATGAATCTGAAGCGGGATTTTCGTATGAGGCGCCATTTAGTATGACGTATAATAAGGTGGGCACCACTGTTGTTGTCATAGCGGGCCCAAATTAAATGTATTTCTTGTTGTGTTTATATAATAAAACGTCGATATTCCTTAAGTACGCTACTTTTTAATTTTAGATTTTTTAAATACAAAAATTTTCATTTTTAAATTCGGGAATAATATAAACATATGTACATCTAAATTAAAATAAATGGAAATACATACGAGCATTTAGAATATTTTAGTGAAGGTTTCAAATATTTAAGTAATCTTTAAAATAAATAAGTAAGGAAAACATTTTAGAAAAGATACTGTGGTTTATCAATTTGAAAAATTAAATGTCGCGGTGAGAAAAAAAAAACGCAATAATAAAAAATTACTCCAGTAATGTAGACAGTTAATTAATTGCTTCGGGTCATTTGGGGGAATAAAGAAAAAATCACCCTCAGGTCAGGTCAGGTCAGGTCAGGTCATTTCCATGAATTATAATAGGCTTTCAGTAATAATTTAATAACAACGAAATGCTGCGTTAGAAAAACGCAACCAACATTACAGCGTGGCATTGACACTAATAATGATAGAGATAACTACGTGTAGTATTTTTATTGATTTTTCACTGCATAGTCACAACATTGTTATCTCGGTTATAAAAAAAATACTTCCAGTTGAGTATGGACACATTGCTCATGCTCCAACTGATTTATCAATTAAATTATACTCAGTGATTTAATCAAGGGATAGCCTAATTAAAATAGAGATAACATTCATCAACTTAATTACTACTTAAGTTTAATATCTAGGGACATGACTAATGAATAATGATTTAGGTGCTTCAAATTTTTAGTAAGTAGGTACATTTTGAACAAACTACATCACTCAGGCAGGTCTCTTTATTGTTTGGGTCGACATTAGGAACTGTGAATTTTACGTTATATTGTGTAATATAATTCCACATGTTTACGTTGTCGTTGTTAGTTGAGATTACCGCATCATGATCAGACACCTGTATAAAATTCAGTAACAATTGTTTCAATTATTAGTAAAAGTTAAGTCACTTCAGTCGTTAATCCTCAGGTGAGAAGTTTTTTGTTTATCTAAACCACAATTTGGTAGCGATTAATAAAGGTTAATTACGATCTTGATCACACGTGCTGTAGATGTCTAATATTAAATCCTTCGAAATATTGATTACCGTATGTATAGTCTGGCATCCCACAATTTTTTCAAATAATTATTCGTTCAATTATACAACAAACACGGTTCCACTTTAAATAATACTTTTTTACAATGAATTTAGGTTAACCCACATGTTGTCGACAACGGTTTCCGTGACTATTGACTATGCTTCACAGGGAGCTATGCTATTTGCGGAGTGGGGAGACAAAGGTCAATGTCAGTACAATAATGAATATCGGCTGTTTTACTGATATTTTTCCTCCTTTATTGTACAAAAAGGACAATAACTAAACCTGTCTCAAAGTACTCCAACAAATCACAAAACATTTATAAATTTATTACAGTTTTTGATTTAAAAATGAAACAGCGATAAACAACTTTATAAAATTTGTTCCTTGATGAAGTAATCGAAAATAAAAACAATAGGTTTCACTTCGTCAAGGTATAAACTACGAAAGTAAACACAAATTTATGAAACTGGATTCGTTTTGGGTGTACTTTAGAGGCGAGGAAAGTTCTGTGCACTTTTGGGATATAAAAATTAGTTACCTGTTTTTATTCAATAATATTAACAACAAAATAATGTTTTCATATTTAAAGATTTTTTTTAATATTGTCGTTATTGGTATCACTTAGCAACAAGATGGAAGGCAAGCACAACCCCAAAACACAAATACGAAGTCATCCAAGAGAAAAAGCCAATTATTTATCGCACTGGTTTTTTTGGTGTGTAGATTTAAAAATTTAACGGAAATTTTGACCAAATGATTTTAGCTGGCAATTACCTTTCTTTTACAAGGGCTACAAAAAACAAATCACCGAAGAAGATCTCTATGGTCCTCTCAAAGACCACAAATCCAAACTCCTCGGAGATAAACTCGAAAAGACGTGGTTAACAGAACTAAAAACACAAAAAAATCCATCGCTGTGGAGAACTTTACGGAAAGTGTTTGGTCCAGAATTTTTATTTTATGGACTTACTCTTATCGTCCAAGAATTAATCGTTAGGTAAGGAACTCCTTTTTAACGAATTGGTATATATTTAATTAATTTTAAGAATGTGTCCACCTATACTCATTGGAAAATTGATGTCGTATTACACTCCGAATCAAACCTCCATTTCAAAAAACGAAGCTTATATTTACGCGTCATGCATAGTTTTTGCATCATTTTTGTACGTCATGATGGGTCATTCTTACCTGCTTGGTCTACTCCACTTGGGCATGAAAATGCGAATTGCTATTAGTTCTCTAGTCTATAGAAAATCGCTAAAATTAAGCCAGAGCGCTATAGCTGAAAATACTGCAGGACATTTGCTCAATTTATTGGCAAACGATATCACCAGATTCGACTACTACGTTGTGAAAGTTCACTATTTGTGGATGGGTCCTGTGGAAACTCTACTCGTTTGTGGGCTTATCTACTGGATGTTAGGGGCAACTGCTATAATAGGGATTGTGATCCTCCTGGCATTTATTCCTGTACAAGGTGAAACAATATACTGTGTTCTTATATCATATTACAACTTATTTTTGTAGTATACTTAGCAAAAAGAATGTCGGTCTATAGACTGCGAACGGCGATAAAAACAGATCAAAGAGTAAAACTGATGAACGAAATCATAACAGGTGTAAAAGTTATTAAAATGTACTCGTGGGAAAAACCTTTTGCTAAGTTAGTGGAACTGGCAAGAAAGTGAGCACTTAATTAATAATAATAATCGGTTTACATTAAACATAATTTTTTGGTTTCTAGGTTGGAAGTGGACCAGATCAAAATTAGTTCGTACTTGCGTGCTTTCAATATGGCCTCCCAGTTATTTTTAGGGAGAATTGCAGTATTTTTCTGTATTCTAATTTATATTTTAACCGGTGGTACCTTAGAACCTCAGTACGTCTACGTCTTGACTTCATTCTACGAAATCATCCGTCTAGGAGCTGTAATTTTTCTTCCACTGAGTATGATGGAAGTGGGGGAAATTATGACATCTATGAAACGAATTTTAGAATTTCTAAAACAACCAGAAGTGACTAGTATTAGAAAGTATAATCATGAAAGTATCAAAATGAATAACGTATGCGTCAAATGGGACAAATCCCCAAAGAACACTTTAACTAACATAAACTTAGATATTAAGTCTAATCAACTAGTAACCTTGATTGGAGCAGTTGGTAGCGGTAAAACTACTCTTCTTCATGTAATTTTACAAGAAATTCCTTTACTGGAAGGATCCTTTGAAGCAGGAGGCACCATTTCGTATGCCTCTCAACAACCATGGCTGTTTTCGGCAAGCATTCGAGATAATATTCTTTTTGGAGAAAAATTTGATAAAAGTAAATATGATGAGGTCACTAAAGTTTGTTCTCTGGAGCACGATTTTGCTCTTCTTCCTTTTGGCGATCGAAGTCTTGTAGGAGAACGAGGTGTTATGCTTAGCGGAGGACAAAAATCCAGAATTAATTTAGCCAGGGCTATATATAAAGACGCTGATTTGTACCTTTTAGATGACCCTTTGTCAGCAGTTGATGTGCATGTAGGAAAACAAATCTTTGAGAAATGTATTAGGAATTATTTAAAGAATAAAACGACGATCTTAATTACTCACCAAATACAGTATTTAGACAATACTGACATTGTCTATTTAATTGAAAACGGAAAGATAATGGAAAGCGGGACATTATTAGAACTTACAGAGAAAAACACAGGGTTTCTAAATGTATTGGAAAAACGAACAGATGTGCAGGATGACCAGCAAATCGAAAGTAAATATAATCTTGAAGAATCAACAGAACGTCCACTGGAAGTAAAAGAAAGTCAAGGAACAGGAGCAGTTTCTAATCGAGTGTATCGCGACTATTTTCTTGCTGGTGGGCCTTTCTTGATAGGCTTCATAGTCATACTTTTACATGGTATGGTTCAAACAATCGCCGTTGGTGGAGACTACTTTTTATCATTTTGGGTGAACTTGGAGCAAGACAACGCCACCAGCACCCACGACTTCTTAACAACAGATAACTGTCTATATATTTACGGTTGTTTAACACTACTTGTGATTATTATTGCCCTCGTTTGTTCTTTCCGCTTTTTCTGGTTTTGTATTACAACGTCTACAAATCTACATAACAAGATGTTCCGCAAAATCGTCTACTCTTCAATGAGATTCTTCAATACAAACGAATCAGGAAGAATTCTTAACAGATTTTCGAAAGACATTGGACTGATTGATGAAAATCTACCCTTATCAATGATGGATACTATTCAAATCTCCTTCAACGTTTTAGCGATAGCTATCATAATTGCTATTGTTAATCCATGGATTGTAATACCTACAGTTGTAATGTTCACGATATTTTATTTTTACAGAAAAATCTGTTTAGCTAGTACCCGTAACCTAAAACGTATCGAAGGGACAGGTGAGTTCATAGTTGTTTTCCTCATAATAATATAACGACTGTGAACATTACAGCACGCAGTCCAATTTACTCACATGTGACTTCCTCTTTAGAAGGCATTTCAACCATCCGAGCTTTTAGTGCTCAAAACAATTTACAAAATGAGTTTGACCAACGTCAAGATTCACACAGCTCTTCGTTTTACATGTTTCTGGCTTGTGACAGCGCATTTGGTTTTTGGTTAGATCTTTGTTGTGTTGTCTTCCTTGGAATTGTTACGTTCAGCATCCTTCTCATGGGTTCTGGTAAGTAATTCGCTTATCTGTTTAGTTGAAATTGATTTCTTTTATGCAGGGAATTATGGTGCTAATATGGGATTAGCTATCACACAATCAATTATGATGACAGGTTTATTGCAGTGGGGAATGAAGCAATCCGCACAATTAGAAAATCAAATGACTTCAGTAGAACGCGTAGTAGAATACACAAAATTAGAACCTGAGTCTGATCAAGGTACAAAACAAATATCAAAAGAATGGCCAGCAACCGGTAAAATCGAGTTTAACACCGTTTCGTTACGTTATTCATCTCAAGATCCGTGGGTACTTAAAAAACTCACTTTTGATATACGCGCGAAAGAAAAAGTGGGAATTGTTGGGCGCACAGGTGCTGGAAAATCTTCGTTAATTTCAGTGTTATTCCGTCTGGCACCAACTCAAGGCGAGGTTTTTATTGACGACGTGAACATTAAAACTATAAACTTGGAGAGTTTACGTTCCAAAATTACCATCATCCCTCAAGATCCAGTACTCTTTTCCGGTACTATCAGGTACAACTTAGACCCGTTCGATGAATACCAAGATTCTCAATTATGGGACGCTTTGGAAGAAGTTGAATTGAAAAATTTAGTGTCGGGTTTCCCAGCTGGTCTGTCAAATAAAGTATTAGACGGCGGTGCCAATTTCAGTGTGGGTCAAAGACAACTTTTGTGTTTAGCTCGAGCAGTAGTCAGAATGAATAAAATTTTAATTCTGGATGAGGCTACAGCTAATGTTGATCCTCGAACTGACGAACTAATCCAAAAGACAATTAGATCGGAATTTCGAGAATGTACTGTACTAACAATTGCTCATCGGCTAAATACGGTTATGGACTCCGACAGAATTTTGGTGATGAGTGATGGATGCGTTGTTGAGTTTGATGAACCTCGTAGACTTCTTGAAAATACGAATGGAGTTTTCTATAGGCTGATAAAACAGGCTGGAAGTGAGATTCAAAAACTAACAGACTTAAACGAAATGTAAGAAAGAAATGTTCAATATTAATAAAGAGTATTTATTTTTGTACAAAAAGTACTTTTTGCAAGTTATCTATCCCGACACATCTCATAATGTTGATCTAGTAACGGCAAATAATTTTGCCTCTAATACGGTGGGAAAATTAATTATTACAAAGTTTGTAAAATATTTCAGGGTGCTTTCATGATCCCTTTCTTCAATAAAGTATCTCATATAAAGCGATACACTTATAATATTTTGTACTTCTCTAGAAATCGAGTCGCTCATTGGAATCATCGACGTTGTACCGATCTGAAACAGATTAAGTATGCTATCAGCTTACTGAAAATTAAAAAATTGACCACGTTAAGTGAAATTATTAATACATCCGACGACGTAAGCTGTTCGAACTCTACTTGACATAAACAAATAATGTAAATAAATTAATAATTACCAAAACTTTACATGGATTTTGTCGCTTCAAACATGTCTCCGCTGTGCTTACAGTTACATAAATATGATTTTTCTTTATTGACTGAAAAAAAATAAGATGCTCCGTTAACTGAACGCAACCAACATTACCACGTGACATTGACACTAAAAATAATGAGAACATCCATGATTGTGTGTCGCGTTTTTTATTGATCTTTATTGTACAAACACATTGTTGTTTGTTATCTCGGTTAGAAAAAACCTACTTTTAGGTACATTTAACGTAAAACATCCTACTTATGATTATAAATTGTTATTATAGTATCAAAAATTCTACACCGAATATAACATTAATTAGATACTGACTTTGCTTTGCCGTTATACAAGGCAAGTGTGGACGTATTCTTCATTCTCAAGAGTTTTATCAGTTAAATAAATTAATCATCAATGGTTTAATCAACGAATACAGTACTTACCTAAAGACAATTTTCATGATGATTTAAGTGTCCCATGTTTATGTCTATTTCAAACTATCAAGAAAAAAATTCAGTTCCTCACACTTCAGGTTTTTTAGTAAATTATGCACCAACTACAACAGCGTTTGTGTATTGTTCAAGTGGACATTAGAAACTGGAGTTTACGTTACATTGTGCAATATGATTCAACACGTTTACGTTGAGAGTTGAGATTACTGCACGATAATCAGGCACATCTATATAAATACTTTGGTAACATAATTGTTGTAGGTGTTTTAGTGAAAGTTAGCTGCTTCAATCGATAATTTCCAGGTGAGAAGGTTTCCTTTTTGCCTAAGCCACAGTTCCGATGGTTAATTATTATGAATATTATGATGAATGACAAACAATCGTACGCTTCGTGGATGTTTTATTCGAAATATTGGTACATACTACATAATCTGATATCTTGTGTTATATAAGTATTCTAAAATAATTATCTCCTGTAATCAAACAACATGCGTAGTTATTGTTCATTTTAAATAACACTTTTTTACGATGAATTTATGTTAACCCAGTTGTTGTCAAGTCTTTAGGGTCGCTAAAGTATGGAATCAGCTAAATATGGCGATAACGGTTTGCTGAATCTTTCTGCAATTTGGGCTGTCCCTAGGAATACTCAAGTTCTATTTTCTGCTATTTTTTCAAATGTTATACTTCATTTTTTTTTAATAACACTAGTACTCAAATGTTCCGTTTTTAAATACTAATAATTATTTTATTTTTTCCCAACATTGTAAAATAAATTGTCAAAGTAAAAATACTGAAAATCAGAAAATAGTAGCTAGCCTTGACAATATTATAATTTGTTATAGTCCTGACGTAGAGCACTTTATTCAGTGCCCAATCGTTATGAAAATGATAAAACTGAGGGTAATTTTGAAAAAAAAAAAATTATTAGAACTGAAGAGAAATATTGAGTTTTACATGTAACAAAACAAATGGCCGCAAAGGTGGTTCCTCTTTTGAGAGAGAACAAAAACTATGAAATAAACTTAACGAGCATATTTTCCCAGATACCCTCCATCATTTCAAGATTATAAATTTTGATCACATAAACACAGCTTGTTGTTAAAAGTACACAATGCTTCAGTTTGCAATTTCTTATCTAGGGGAAACGAAAGGCAATGCTCAAATTATTATGGTGACGTGATGACAGACTTTTATATTTTGACTGTCGACAAAAAAAAACGATTTAACTCTCATCGAACTGTTTCTTTGCCTCAATCACTGTTACGTACAACCAAGCCGCGGTGCCCTCACAAACGCCACGCTATCTCCATGCTGTATCCGCTGGCGCCTGAGGCAGCTGCTTCAAGAATTATTCCGCAACTATACTCCATCCACCGCGTGACACACGACACTCTACCCCTAGTAAAGTTTCCTTGACCAGCAGAACACCTCCGCATGTCTCGCGTTGGTGGAATCCGGCATGCAACTAAACAGTCATATGAATGACAGGAAAAATTTGTTAATCTAAACTTGGTCCAACCTCGGCAATCGAATTCTATCAAGCAAAATTAATGAAGCAAAATTACACATTGTAACGGGCGATAAATTTACTTATTTTTGGAGATGTTGGTAGGAATCAGAACAATCGTCATTGTCGTAAAAATCAAGGTTGTCCTTGTGAAACTTGGATTTTATGATTTCGCACCATTCTAATCAAGGTTTATAATTTCACAGTTAAATACTGGCGCCGTTTGGCTGGACACGATGTCTTTGTCCAGTTTTATAATTTCATGGTTTAAATTTGTTAATTTTAACAAAAAGCACATTTTGCCACTAAAAATCTTCATATTACAGTTAATTAAGCCTAATTTGGTGGAAACACAAATGCTTTTACGACTCCCCAAATAAACTAGTAACTTGTAAACAATTTTGCGAAAACAACTCCTTTGGAGGGGTCTTTACTTATAAAAGATTGAAAGATCCAAAAAAGACCAGACTCCTCTAGCCAGTTGCCTGTTTAGTGTGTGTTTGTGTTGTGACACAAGGGGGTAAGTGTTAATATATCCAAAAATGTGCACGATTTCATAAAAAGTTCAAAGTTTTGTTTTTATTAATATTTTTAAAGTTCAGTTAAAATTTGATGATAAATCACCCTTTGTATTCTCGATTGGATAACGTTTTGAGATTTAGATCTATTTTTAAAGATTAATTTGCATTGAAATTATTAGTTAAACAGTTATATTGTTTGATGAACGCTGACCACGAAACTACTATAATGTTCCTTACCAAATGTTTGAGTTGTTACCAAATTTTGAGTTATGTTACCAAATTTTGAGTTATGGTACCAATTTTAAGTTTTGATATATTTTTGTTTTAGATTTTTTTAAATATTTGTTTTATTATGCTTTCAAAGATTTAGTTTCAAAGTTATAAGGTTTTCTTGAATTTATTTAAAAATGTTTTAATACTGTAGTTCATTTTCTGTTAATTATATTTGCATATTAAACTACACTACAATTTATTGTTATACCAAATTATTCTCATATGACTAAATCTCTTTTGTACATACTCATTTCTAAATTAAATATAATTATTCATTTAAGCAAAATGCATATACTTGAAGTTTAGTCCCTTTGTCCAGTCACTAGAATGTGTTACCATCATCACGAACCAGCCTACGAACAAATAAATAATATTTTCAGTATATGTCGGGCACAAGGTCCACGACAAGAGTTTTACAATTTTATATATAATAAATTAACAAAAGTTAATTTTGAAAATCTCCCAAACCCATCACAACATCTTGAATCGAATTCCCCAACACATAACTAAACAATGGTTGGAAGCAATTCAATAATTACAAGTAATTCATTGCTGTAATTCGATTCCTTTCCAAGTAATGAGTAATTGTAATGCATTAGTTCCCAAAAAATGTAATGAGTAATTGTAACGAATTACTTTTTTTGAATAATTCACTCACTTCTACAATTACTTTTTGCAATTACTTTTAACTGAAATACTCAAAAATATTGTTTTGTTTTTTTTGCGAATTGTTTACCTGACCTGCTGGAATTATTATAACGGTTTCGTCCCCACAAAAAGAAGATTAACCCAGTAGGGAGTTAAAATCTAAACCAAGTCTGCCACAAAATTTGTTAAGAAACTAGGTAACCATAATACTCGTATACATAAGCCCTTCATCATTTTAAGAGTATAAGCTAAAGCATATTCCAACATAGGGAAATACATATAAACTTCTGCCCAAGTTTTGGCCAAAAGTATACGCCCGATTGTAATAAACTTCACACCGTTGAAATGAGCGTTAAAACCCTTTCGCTATTTATGGATCAATTTTGAATTTTCAAAAAGGTACATTAGCAGAAATTGTATTAATAAATCCATTGCGCTTTACAAAAATAAAATATCTTAATAAATAATTGAGTAAACAGGGGCACAATATTTAAAGTTTGTGGTCAAACAAACTTTGGCCATTTTTCTGGTTCACTCAAATCTACATATAACAGGTCACCGGTAGAGCCCGTTCTTTTAAACTCCTCATAATACACCAATAAAACTTTATGAAAGTGTCCACACCCTCAGATGGAAAATTTGATGAAAACACATTTTGACAATTTTTTAAAGAATAAAAGGAGACAATTAGATCTACTGAATCAAAGTGCTCCATGTTTTAGACACATTTTTGTAAAATATAACACAACAATTCCATCTAACGCCGCAGTTTTTAAGATAAACATCATGGCTTAGCTGACGAAAATTTTGAATGTCAGTTATTATTGAATTTAAATTATGAATAGAGTCATCTTGCATGAAATATTTATTTGTTTTATTTTATTTACTGATGTAAATATGTAACAAATGCGTTAGTAAAATCAATCACTCACTGCCTTTTTCATTCTAACAGCATTGTGCAATATTTCTCTAAGTCAAGGAATACTTAATACTTTGTTGCAAAAGTTGAATGTATTTGTCAGACGTTAAATTTCCGTTAATGAAGAAGGGGCCGCACCAAACATTAATTTTTTGAGGATACTGTGTATGAACCTCCTCCATGCATCCAGTGTGGATTTGTATTGGACCAGTACCTACAGTTACGGCGATTAACATGCCCATTCAAACAAAAAGTAAACTTATCACAAAGTAATAATTCGTTTATGAAGTTGCCATGCTGATCTAGTATGTCTATCAGTATTTCGCAAAATTCGATTCTGCGGTCAAAGTCATCTCCACTCGATTCTTGTACTAAATGAATTTTGTATGGATGATATTTTTCCCGTTTGAGTATTTTTTGAAGTTTAAAAAATTACAGAAAATAGAACTTGAGCATTTTTAAGTATAGTCCAAATTTCAAGAAGATCCAACTAACCGTTCCCGAGATATTATAAAAACTCGCTCGAGAGAGTCTCGGCGCGTACAGGTTGATTTTCGCTCTCTGTATATACGTATTTCCGTAAATATCTCAATTAATATTAATTTACATTGTCGTTAACAATGTCTGCTAATACTAAATGTAGTAAATGTGCAAATGAGTGCCCAGATAATGATAAAATCATTTGTGATATGTGTCATCTTCCGATCCACATTAACTGTGCCGGTATATCGAAGGCTGAAAAGGGATGTCTACAGAGTAAGAACAGAAAAATAAATTTTTTTTGTGATAAATGCGACATATTATCGATCATCGCTCACCTAAAAGGAGAAATTGACACTCTCAAAGCCGACATGAATGAGTTAAAAAACACTAATAACAATGACCCCGTGCAAGTTAAAAACGATTTATCGCAATTGGATTTAATCAATGAACTTGAAGATCGGCAACGACGTTCAAACAACCTGATTCTTAACATCCCAGAATCTGATAAGGAAACATCTATTCTACGCAGAGATGATGATCTAACACGATGTAAAGAAATTCTGACCCATAATATCCAAGGTGATGTAACGTATGAAATAATGTCCTGCTACAGATTAGGAAAATTTGTTGTAAATAAGTCTCGTCCATTAAAAATTACACTTGCTACGCAAAGCCAAGCACTGGAGGTGTTAAAAAAATATAAACAAACCGATGGACATTATTTGAACCGAGATTTGACGCCGTATCAACGTAATGTTTGTTATTTACCTTAGTTAGAAAGGAATTACGACAACGTAAAGAAAATGGTGAAAGTAATCTTAAGCTTGCATATCTTCATGGTATTCCTAAAATAGTTGTTCAAAATAAAGATAACATCACTGTAAGAAAAAAGTAATTGAATTCCAACAAACTGTAACCCATAATGATTTTTGCCTGATTAATTACCAAAATGTCAGAGGATTAAACACTAAAGTTACTGAATTTTACCTGAATATGTGCTCATGTGACTTTGATGTGATTGTGTTGACGGAAACATGGCTGAAAGAAGATGTTGCCTCTAGTGAATACTTCAATTCTAACTATCAAATCTATCGAGTAAATAGTACTGGCAGAGGTCGTGGTATAATTATAGCCGTTAAAAGTGAATATCAATCTAGAAATATGCAGCTCTTATCGCCAGTATTAAATGCTGACCTTCTTGGTGTAAAAGTTATGACAGCGTCATTTACGTTATACATTATTGCAGTATATATAACACCTGCTGCAAATGTTGACATTTACCACGAGTTATTTGGGTATATAGAGAGTCAGTGTACATTAGATAAAAATGTCATTATTATTGGTGATTTTAACATACCACAGTATGTAGAGCACTTTATACATAATGATAACATGTCCGGTTCGTCTTTGCCTTTATATGACTTCATAAGTTTCAACAATCTTACTCAACATAATAAGATTCTTAATAGAAATAATCGTCTCTTAGACTTAGTTTTATCGTCTAGTGATATCTCTTGTCAAATTAGCAGCTGTGACAGCCCATTAGTTAAGGAAGATAACCACCATCCGTCGTTGATCGTAAATACTGAGAAAACTCCTGATATTAGTGTCCGAAAATTCAGTCCAAAATGTGCAAGTTTTAAATATAATTTTCGTAAGGCAAATTTTGTTCACTTATATGATTCTTTACTCTGTACTGATTGGACGCCGGTGTTTGTCTCTGGATCGGTTAATCAAGCATGTCAGTTATTTTATAACATTTTATATCAAATTTTTGATTGCTGTGTTCCAAAAACGCTTATAAGGGGATCTAGATATCCAGTCTGGTACACCAAAGAGTTGATCTCAATGATTAAACACAAGTCTGCTTTATGGAGAAAGTACAAAAGGTATAAACTGGATATGTATCTTGACCAAATCCGCCAGTTACGAAAGCAAATTAAATATGAAATTCGGAGCGAGTACAAAAAATTTATCAAATCTGCTGAGGATAACTTGCGAGCTGATCCATCCAAACTTTGGTCTTTCATAGATATGAAAAAAAATAGTTCCAGGATTCCAGGCAATATGAAGTACAAAGAATCTGAACTGAACACGGCTCAAGACATAGTTGAGGCTTTTGCATCCTACTTCAGTAGTGTTTTTGAGAATGGCCACTCTAATACTACAACGATCTGTGATAGTGTTGGTGATAAAATGGAGATGAAATACAGATTAGGTTGTAAATGTTGTGTTGCACCCAGTTGTGATAATGTAAATATTCTTCATAAATTTCATCTGACTCCTGAAGATATCGTAAAGAATGTGAAAAAATTAAAAAATAAATGCACAGCTGGTCCTGATGAAGTACCATCATTTCTCGTCAAAGATTGCATTCAGGTTTTAAGTCATCCTCTTTGTTATATCTTTAATTTAATATTAAGTTTAGTACTGCAGTCTTTCTGGATGTCTGGAAAACTGCGAAAGTAATTCCTGTATTTAAGAGTGGTGTTAGAGATGATGTTACGAATTATAGGCCGATAGCGATCTTGTCAAACTTCGGAAAAATTTTTGAATCTATCTTAGCAGAGCATTTGTATAATCATATTGAGCCTTCTATCAATGAAAATCAACATGGTTTTGTGCGAAAAAAATCTACTGTAACGAATCTTCTTGAATTTACACAATATGTACTTAATGAATTTGATAGCTTCCATCAAGTAGACGTAGTATACACAGACCTTTCTAAAGCTTTTGACATAGTTGATCATAAAATTCTTTTGCACAGATTGTCTGAGTTTGGTTTGTGTAATGAACTAATTAATTTATTTCAATCCATTTTATTTAATAGATCTCAATATGTGGAATATGCTAGTTGCTGTTCGTATAAGTTCCCAGCGGTGTCACTCAAGGATCTAACTTGGGTCCTATTTTATTCCTAGCTTTTCTAAATAGAACTCTTAATTTATTTCACTGTCAAATTTATGCATATGCTGATGATGTCAAGATTGTTAAACCTATAATATCACTAGAGGATTGTAGAACTCTGCAAAATGATGTCAATAGATTCTATAGGTGTTGTATAGAAAATAAATTAATTGTAAATGACTCTAAATGTAAAGTGATAAGTTTATCTCGAAAAACACATAATATTCTAAATTACAATTATGTTGCAAATGATAAGCCACTTGTTAGAGTTTCTGAAATTAAAGATCTTGGTGTTATGATAGACCACACTTTATCGTTTGTTCCACATATTAATCATATCTGCACTCAAGCTATAAAAACTTCGGGTTTTATAAAGCGAAATGTATCTGATTTTAAAGATGTCAACTGCTTGTTATCGTTGTACTATGTATTGGTAAGGTGTAGACTTGAATATGCCAGTGTGGTATGGTCACCATTTTATTTTGTCCATGTACAGTCTCTTGAGCGTATCCAAATTAAATACTGCAAGTACTTGTAGAAAGTGGAGCCTATCCTCCGAAACATTTTGATAGAAGGGTCTTATACAACCGTTTCAGTATGGAATCATTAGAGGACAGAAGAAAATTTTCTTGCAATATTTTTATGTTTAAGTTAATCCATCACATGATAAATTGCAGTCATTTACTATCATATTTGAATTTCATTGTACCTCGGTTGAACAGTCGTCATTCTTTAGTATTTTCAATTCCGCATTCCCGTACAAATTATCATTTTTATTCCCCAATATTTAACATCTGTAGAAAGTGTAATGAATTATCGGGCCTTATTGATATATTTAGAGGTAACTTTAAAATGTTCCGTAAGAACTGTAAAAGATTAATTAATAATGTCCCTGTGTAATATATAGGTATCAACTGTACGCACCTTGTGTATTATTGTTATTATTAGTTTGTAATTATATGTATCTGAACACATGTTAACTGTAAAGTGTTGTTTAATCCTTTGTGGACCATCGGTCTGTTGGATTCAATATATTATTATTATTATTATTAATATTATTATATTCAAATGCTGCCATACTTTTCAACAACGCTGTATGCTGTTATAAATGAACAATTAGGTATTGCAGTATTTTCAACAAGAGGCTTCTTATGAATGAGCGAGTTTGCCATTTCCGGACTTAGCATTCTCGTCCTGGTTTTGTATATTTTTCGCGACGTTAATTTTATTCTGAATGGAATTTTCTATACACTTCTCCGCCACTGATGTAGACTTCCGTCCCCCGTGTCTTTTAATGTTAGACAAATTAGCACCAGCGTCTGCCAAAAATGTTGTCAACCTACACCGAAGGCAGTGACCAGTGAATTCTTCCGGATTTTATGATGTCAACCAATATGCTATTTTGTTTGGCATTTTGATTATAGTGTGAATTCCAATTTTCCAGTTTTTCAATTATTTTTATGGAATATAACATTGTTTTCATATCAGCTAAATAATCATTTTAGTTTTTTTTAATAATAGTCGTTGTTATATCTTTTAGGAACAATATGGAAGGACATCCCGACTCCAAAACAAAAATACGAAGCCATCCAAAAGAAAGAGCCAATTATTTATCACATTGGTTTTTTTGGTGTGTAAATTTCATAATTTAAGTGAACTTTTGACAAAATTATTTTAGCTGGGAACTACCATTCTTTTACAAGGGCTACAAGAAACAAATCACTGAAGAAGATCTGTATGGTCCTCTAAAGGACCACAAATCTAAGGTCCTAGGCGACAAACTCGAAGAGGCATGGTTAACAGAATTAAAAACACAAAAAAATCCGTCCCTGTGGAGAACTTTACGAAAAGTATTTGGTCTAGAATTTTTATTATATGGACTTATTCTTGTAGTCGAAGAATTAATCGTTAGGTAGGTAACTTATTTTTTACACAATGATCCTATCTTTCATCGCTTTTAATTTTAAGAATGTGCCAGCCTTTACTCATTGGAAAATTAATGTCGTACTACACTCCGAACCAAACTTCCATTTCAAAAAATGAAGCTTGTATTTACGCGTCATTCGTAGTTTTTGCATCCTTTTTGTACGTAATGATAGGTCATTCCTACGCGCTTGGCTTATTCCACCTAGGGATGAAAATACGGGTAGCTGTTAGTTCTCTAGTCTATAGAAAATCTCTCAAATTAAGTCAGAGCACTATAGCTGACAATACCGCAGGTCATTTGCTCAATTTGTTGGCAAACGATGTCGGCAGATTCGAGTACAACGTTGTAAACGTTCACTTTCTGTGGATGGGGCCTCTGGAAACTCTAGTCGTTTGTGCACTGACCTACTGGATGTTAGGAGCAACTGCTATAATAGGAATAGCAATCCTCTTGGGATTTATTCCTGTACAAGGTGCCTTAGCAGTGTGACATTGCGATGTTATATTTTAATACAACTTGTTTTTGTAGTATACTTAGCAAAAAGAGTGTCTGTCTATAGATTGCGGACGGCACTGAAAACAGATCAAAGGGTAAAACTGATGAATGAAATCATAACAGGTGTAAAAGTTATTAAAATGTACTCGTGGGAAAAACCTTTTGCTAAGTTAGTGGAACTGGCAAGAAAGTGAGCACTTCATTAATAATAATCAGTTTGTACGTTAAACATAATTTGTGGATTTGTAGGTTAGAAGTAGACCAGATAAAAATTAGTTCGTACCTACGTGGCTTTAATATGGCCTGCCAGATATTTTTAGGAAGAATTGCAATTTTCTTCTGTATTCTAGTTTATATTTTAACTAGTGGTAACTTAGAACCTCAGTACGTCTACGTCTTGACTTCATTCTACGAAATTATACGTCTAGGAAGTGTAATTTTCCTCCCAATGGGTATGATGCAAATGGGGGAAACTATAACATCTGTGAAGAGAATATTGGAATTTTTGAAACAACCAGAAATAACTAGTATTAGAAATTCCAATCACGAAGGTATCAAAATAAATAACGTATGCGTCAAATGGGACAAATCCCCAAAGAACACTTTATCTAATATAAACTTGGATATTAAGTGTAATCAACTAGTGACCTTGATTGGAGCAGTTGGTAGTGGTAAAACCACCCTTCTGCATGTAATTTTACAAGAAATTCCTTTACTGGAAGGATCCGTTGAAACAGGAGGTACCATTTCGTATGCCTCTCAACAACCATGGCTGTTTTCGGCAAGCATTCGAGATAATATTCTTTTCGGAGAAAAATTTTATCAAAGTAAATATGATCAGGTCACTAAAGTTTGTTCTCTGGAGCACGATTTTGCCCTTCTTCCTTTTGGCGATCGAAGTCTTGTAGGAGAACGAGGAGTTATGCTAAGCGGAGGACAAAAATCCAGAATTAATTTGGCCAGGGCTATATATAAAGACGCTGATTTATACCTTTTAGATGACCCTTTGTCAGCAGTTGATGTGCATGTAGGAAAACAACTCTTTGAGAATTGTATTAGGAATTATTTAAAGAATAAAACGACGATCTTAATTACTCACCAAATACAGTATTTAGACAATACTGACATTGTCTATTTAATTGAAAACGGAAAGATAACGGAGGCCGGGACATTACTAGAATATACAGAGAAAAACACTGGATTTCTAAATGTATTGGAAAAACCATCAGATGTGCAGAATGACCAGCAAATTGAAAGTAAATATAACCTTGAAGAATCAAAAGAAAGTCCACTGGAAGTAAAAGAAATTCAAGTAACAGGATCAGTTTCTAATCGAGTATACCGCGACTATTTTCGTGCTGGTGGGCCTTTCTTGATAGGTTTCATAGTCATACTTTTACATGCTATGGTTCAAACAATCGCCGTTGGTGGAGACTACTTTTTATCAGTTTGGGTGAACTTAGAGCAAGACAACGCCACCACCAGCCACAATTTTTTAACAACACATAACTGTCTATATATTTACAGTGGTTTAACACTACTTCTCGTCATTATTGCGGTCGTTTGTTCCCTTTGCTTCTTCCGGTTCTGCATTTCAACATCTACAAATCTACATAACAAGATGTTTCGCAAAATCGTCTACTGTTCAATGAGATTCTTTAACACAAATGAATCAGGAAGAATTCTTAACAGATTTTCTAAAGATATTGGATTGATTGACGAGAGTCTACCTTTGTCAATGAAGGACACTTTTCAAAGCTCCCTCAACGTTTTAGCGATAGCTGTCATCATTGCCGTGGTTAATCCATGGATTTTAATACCCACAGTTATAATGTTTGCGCTGTTTTATTTTTGCAGAAAAATTTTTTTGGCTAGTAGTCGTAACTTAAAACGCATCGAAGGCAGAGGTGGGTATATGATTATTTTCTAATCGTAGTATTAACATCGTGAACATTGCAGCTCGTAGTCCAATTTACTCCCATGTGACTTCGTCTTTAGAAGGTATTTCAACAATCCGAGCTTTTAGGGCTCAAACCAAGTTACAAGACGAATTTGACGAGCGTCAAGATTCACACAGCTCTTCGTTTTACATGTTCCTGGCTTGTAACGGCGCGTTTGGTTTTTGGTTAGATCTTTGTTGTGTTGTCTTCCTTGGAATTGTTACGTTCAGCATTCTTTTCATGGGTTCTGGTAAGTAATTCGCTTATATTTTTACGTGAAATTGATTTTTTTTTATGCAGAGAATTATGGTGCTAATATGGGATTAGCTATCACCCAATCGATTATGATGACTGGCCTGTTGCAGTGGGGAATGAAACAATCCGGACAACTAGAAAATCAAATGACTTCAGTAGAACGTGTAGTTGAATACACCAAATTAAAACCTGAGTCTGATGAAGGTACTAAACAAACACGAAAAGAATGGCCAAAGAACGGTAAAATCAAGTTTAACTGCGTTTCGTTCCGATATTCATCTCAAGATCCCTGGGTACTCAGAAAACTCACCTTTGATATACGCGCGACAGAAAAAGTAGGAATTGTTGGACGCACAGGTGCTGGAAAATCTTCGTTAATTTCAGTGTTATTCCGTCTGGCACCAACTGAAGGCGATGTTTTTATTGACGACGTGAACATTAAAACTATAAACTTGGAGAGTTTACGTTCCAAAATTACCATCATCCCTCAAGATCCAGTACTCTTTTCCGGTACTATCAGGTACAACTTAGACCCGTTTGATGAGTACCAAGATTCTCAATTATGGGACGCTTTGGAAGAAGTTGAATTGAAAAATTTAGTGTCTGGTTTCCCAGCTGGTCTGTTAAATAAAGTGTTAGACGCTGGTGCCAATTTCAGTGTGGGTCAAAGACAACTTTTGTGTTTAGCTCGAGCAGTAGTCAGAATGAATAAAATTTTAATTCTGGATGAGGCTACAGCTAATGTTGATCCTCGCACTGACGAACTAATCCAAAAGACAATTAGGTCGAAATTTCGAGAATGTACTGTACTAACAATTGCTCATCGGCTAAATACGGTTATGGACTCCGACAGAATTTTGGTGATGAGTGATGGATGCGTTGTTGAGTTTGATGAACCTCGTAGGCTTCTTGAAAATACGAATGGAGTTTTCTACAGGCTGATAAAACAGGCAGGAAGTGAGATTCAAAAACTAACAGACTTAAACGAAATGTAAGAAAGAAATGTTCAATATTAATAAAGAGTATTTATTTTTGTACAAAAAGTGCTTTTTCCTAGTTAACTACTCCCTATTTATTTCAAATTGTATCATGACGATAAATGAAGATACAACTGTTTCCAGCACATCTAATAATGTTGATCTAGATACGGCAACAATTTTGGCACTAGTACGGCAGGAAAATTGTTTAGTACAAAATTTATAAAATGTTTCAGGGTGGTTTTATGTTCCTTTTCTTCAACAATGCGTGTCATATAAAGCGGTACATTTATACCAAATATTTTTTGCTTCTCTAGAAATCGAGTCGCTCATTAGAATCATCGAAGTTGTACCGATCTGAAACAGATTTAGTACGCTATCGGATTACTGAAAATTTAAAAATTTACAACATTAAGGGCCGGTTTACAGAACAGCGAGTTAAATATTTAATCCTCGATTAGTTTAACAGAGAATTAAAATGTGGGATATGAGCCCGTGATTGGTTGAAATATGCGCGTTGCCTCGCAACGGACCTCAGTTAAAAGTTAATCGCGAATTAACTTTAACTTCGCTTTCTATAAATCGGGTCTTAGTGAAGTTATTAATGCACGAGTAATAATGAGCCTGAAAAAATTTTCGATGCAACCAGAGCTTACTTCACTATATTTCTTTTAAAAGTCATAGTTTGAATCCACGATGGTCATGAATCATTGTCATTGTCACTTTTTGGGAAATTAAAAGTTTATTACAATTTGTGCTAAATGTATAGGTATCTATTCAAATGATGAGAAGACAGATAATGATTTTAGTGCTAGAGAAGAAGAGTACGTTTGGCCTGCACGGAGCCCTGATCTAACGCTATTAGATTTTTTTTCTTTGGGGGAAAGTGAAAAATGACGTTTATAGTGTCCCAATCGAAAATGAAAACAAAACCACTTACGTGAAAGGATAATAGCGTCATGCAGATCTATAACTCCCGACATGTTAGATAAAGTTCGTAGAAATTTTGAACGTAGGATAGGACTTTGTGAAGATAGTGGAGGCATGTATTTTGAACAATTATTATAAATTCGTTTTCGTTGTAATCTGATCAATTAATAAATTGAGTATTATTTTTTTCAATTTTGTCATTATTTGGCACTGACATCTTTGTTATTTTTTTTTCTATGATTGCTATGATTGCTTATTAAAAAAAAAATAAATTGGACGAAGTCGTCTATGGGGTGTATAATATATTGCCTATGCAAAAATTGTCAGGCGTGAACAGCTAAGATGAACACCCTGTATATACATATTTACATGTTTCCCTGTGTAATCTGTAAAATTTGAAAATAAGCTCCAAAAGGCTGACACTCATTTAGCGTTTGCGAGTAATCGAATACACACGATTTGTTTAAACTACGCAGCTGTATAGAAATAAATTCTGTAAATGGAAGAATAACTTATGACTCGATCTAATTAAGTATATTTTAATTTTAGTTTTAAACAATTTGACTTCTCCGAATGGAGATTTACTAAGAAGCTTTTCACTACCCCCTGGAGTTGAACATCAATGTGGGTCATCGTGAACATTTGTACGTCGAAAAAGCAAATTTCGCCGCCTCCATGGATTTTGTCGCTTCAGACATGTTTCCGTCATGCGTACAGTTACATAAATATGGATTTTCTTTATTGACTGAAAAAAATTAAGATGCTCCGTTGGCTAAACGCAACCAACATTACCACGTGACATTGACACTGAAAGTAATGAGAGCACTCATGATTGTGTGTAGCGTTTTTTATTGACTTTCAAAATATGTACAAACACATTATTTGTTATCTCGGTTAGAAAAAAACAACTTTTGGGGACATTTAAGGTAAATCATCCAGCATATGATTATAAACTTTTATTTTATTATTAAAAAAGATACAAATTAGAGATTGACTTTGCTTTGAGGTTATACAAGTCAAGTATGGACACATTCCTCATTCTTCAAGAGTTTTATCAGTTAAATGAAGTATAGTCAATGATTTAATCAACGAATACAATATTTACCTAAAGACAGTTTTCATCAGCATATTACTCCATGATTTATCTCTCCCAGCATATTTATGTCAATTTCATACTATCAAGAAGCAAATTCAGTTCTTCACACTGCAGCTTTTTTAATAAATCATGCACCAACTACAACAGCGTTTGTTTATTGTTCAGATGGACACTAGAAACTGTGAATTTTACGTTATATTGTGCAATATGATTCAACATGTTTACGTTGAGAGTTGAGATAACCACATGATAATCAGGTGGATCTATATAAATACTTTGGTAACGAAATTGTTGTATGTGTTTTAGTGGAAGTTAGCTGCTTCAATCGATAATTTCCAGGTGAGAAGTTTTGCTTTTTGCCTAAGCTACAGTTCCGATGGTTAATTATCATGAACGACGATCATATGTTCCGTGGACGTTTTATTCAAAATATCGAATACTACATAATCTGAAATTCTGTATTTATATTTTAAAATAATTATGCCTGCAATAAAACAACACGCAGAATTTTTGTTCATTTTAAATAATAGTCTTTTTACGATGAAATCTGGTTCCCATGACTATTAGGTATTAGCGGACTGGGAAAACAACATTTTACTACAGTAATGTTTAACCTGGAAAGTACCATTTTAGTAAACTAATCCGCTGAATGTTTTTTTTACCGAATAATCCTATAAAAACAAAAAATTGAACTTGAAGTTTTAGATTTATTTATTATTTACATTAAATAGCCATACAATTGCACGCTGTTATAAATGAACAATTAGGTATTGCAATATTTTCAGCAAGACGGTTCTTATCAATGAGCGAGTACCATTTCCGAACTTAGAATTCTCTTCCTGGTCTTGTACATTTTTCGCGATGTTAATTTATTCTAAATAGAAATTTCTGCTAAAAATATTGTCAACCTACCGGACTTTGTAATTTGAAACATACCGCTATTTTGTTTTCCATTTTAACTACAGTGTGAATTCGAATAGGTAGGGTTTTACAATCTCCCTTTTTTTTTTTAAATGAAGAGTCGATTGTGAAGGATGTGATGCCTGGTCGAACGGTCGAAGTACCTATTTTCGATTAAAATGTAAATGAAGATTTTCTTTCTCTCCACTAACCAAGATTGTTCTGTCTACATAATTTTTCGTGTCACCAACATCCATAATTAGCTCTGAAATACTTGTCGCTTATCTGATGTGATAGAGAATCATTTTTACCAACTCTTCACGCCTGCATGCTCCTGAGAGTCCCATTATCAACACCACTGTAATAACCCAAACTTCCCGCCTTTAAATTGACCATGAAAAAGTTTGAAAGGCCCGCGAAAAATTCAAAAATTCAAAGTTTTGCCTTGGCTGTGATCGTCTAACAAATGAGAACCTACGTTCTGTGTGTGTTTTTTTTTGTTTTTGAAAAATGGCGGGAAGACCCCCTTTCATACAAGTGAGCAATACTGTATGTGAGTTGAGAGCGCAAAAAATAATAGACAAAATTAAGGGAGGTCGAAATCCTTCCTTAGGAGGAAAAGAAACGAAGAGCGGAAGTGACTCAGCGTGCCCTTCTGGTGACGCCGCAGGGCCAAGGTGTCGTCGGTCTTCATTCCCAAAAACCCCCTGGGGTTTTATTCACCGAAATATTACATTTAAAACACCTTAAGATATATGAAAGAAAACACACGCAAATTGACAGACATACACATATGAAAAACGAACAAACGGAAATTCTATACATCTGTTTGGAATCAATGCAAATATTTGAATATCACAAATTTAATAAAAACAAAGCAAAATCTGAATTAAGTAACTAAATGCAAATACACAAGTTATTACGGGCGTGTGGCGGCTGATTTTTAAAGTTACGGCAGTTAACAGGAGCACAACAAAAGTACCCCTGGGGTGTTGTAGCATAAGCGGAGTTTGGGGCTACCGGTCTGGAGCTGTTCTCCCCCCACGACGGTGATTTTATCTATCACAAAGCCTACCCCACACGCATATCTCCATTACGAACGTGCCTTGCGGAACTAGGCCATTACGGTCGTCCGACCCGCAAGAGATCTCGGCTATGGGCAGAAACCGAGAAATTTACAACATCGGCGGCCGCCCCTGAATCTATCCAAACCTGTGGACTTGTACAGGTGACACGATAAATCTCGCCAGCTCGACTAGGAACCGAACTTCGCTTCTGTCACGTTGTCTGTGTCATTTAACCTCAATTCCATTTTAAAATATTCAGTCTCCCATAACTCTGATGTTAACAACAACTGAACAAGTGTTAAAGTTTCAACGAGCAATAAACAACATTTAAATTCGCCATACAATCTTATGAAATTCTAAACAACAAATAAATCTTATGTGAGATAAAAATTGGACATCGAACAATTTATGATAGAAACATTCATCAACAAAATATGTACAAAACAAAACTTAGCAAGGATTTATGAAACAAAAGATCTGGTGTGAAATGAACTTGTACAAATAGAAATATTATGTGAGGTTAAAACTGTAGAACATGAAATTTACGTTCAATTAAAACAAAGGAAAATTACTAAGGTTAAAATTGTGAGATTAAAGAAATATTGTATGAGGTGGAAAATTGCAGAGTTTACAAAATTTACAGGAGATTAATAATTGCCATACTTTTTCAATGATTCAAACAAAGAGTTTACATTATGTCAAATTATATCATGATCTAAGTGATTGCTTACTTAAAAAAAAAAACAAATTACTTTGAGAGTTTAAAATACCACGAACTGGTTACCCCAACAAAACACATAATAAACAAACACAGAAATATCCAATCATCTCTCCGAGGGAAAAAGCGTCTCGGTGATGCAAATTTTAAAATCGTTGCTAGGAAAAGCGTCTCGGTGATATAAATTTTAAAATCGTTGCGAGGAAAAAGCGTCTCGGTGATGTAATCAATCTGTAGCGTTGTGAGGGCATGCCTTGATAAATTAATCAGTCTGTAGAGTCGTGACGGCATGCCTTGATAAATTAATCAACCCGTGGCGTTGTAAGGCATGCCCCGATGAATTAATCATGATAACGATGATAACCGCCTAAGGGAAGAAAACATTTTAAACCCCTCCCGCCAGTTCGGAGTATAATGAACTTGTTTAACTGCCGTAAATGAACTATTAGCAAACTTGTGTGAAGAATTAAGAAGTGTTATAAGGTAACAGTTACGTATATGCATCCAGAACCCTATTCGTAATTAAACAAGGTGTTTTTCCTGACTAAGTGAATTTCATGAAATCTTCTAGCAAATGGTTTATCTAAATAATCCTGATTATTAAATTGTGTTTGCACTAGCTGACTGTTAAGAAAAACTAACTTGATTGGTAAATTTACGAATAATGAAACAAATTTACACCACGTGTTTCGTGTGGACCGGAAGTTGGCGTTTTCCGATTAAAAGGCCGCAAGAATTGACCGCGCGGGTTGGGGACAACTGTTTCATTATGAAAAGTACGTTTGATTGTCGTTAAACAAAGGCTTCCTCCCGTTTTATTAACTACCAAACCAACTAATTTAAACCTAGCGCTTACCACGTGGTTACACTCACACCAGCACATTCAGACTGAATCTACGCCATGCAGTTTCTCTCTCTACCCATCAACCAACCCTGTAACTAAAAACTCCCTAGCGCTAAATTGTCACGCTACCAAACAAGCATCTCCGTGTACCAGGTTGCCTATGTTTAACGATTTCCTTTTTGTGATTGAATTTTTTTTTCTTTCAAATTCAAATTATTCAAATGTGATTTCGCGCCGCTGTTAATTAATTTCAGCGCGAAAACATTGATTTAAATTCGGTCACCACACTACCTTTTGACAATTTACACATATAATTTATTTTATAGAAAGCACTAGTGATACGTACGAGCCCCTTCCCAACTAAAGCCTAAAGCGGATTTTTTTTAATTCGTTTTTTAGTGAAGAAAAAGACAAGCATTACGTGAATTTACACATTTTTAAAAACTCTTAGTCATAAGAAATATCTGGTAAAACACTGGAACTGATAACAAGAACAAAGTAACAACAAATAAGAAAATTGTGAAAAAGGCAACATGGACCTAAAAAACAAATTCAGAATTTACCACTGGATAACATCGCCTTTTTTCTTTATGGCGCCCAAAATTCTTTGAGGCATAGTTTTAACGACGCCTTGACAGAATTCTGGTGTAGGGGAATTCCATATTTCTTCAAGCCTTTGCTTCAGTTCAGGAATAGTTCTCACAAGATGTCTCCGAACCATCTTTTCATGTCGTACCACAAAGTTTCGATTGGGGATAAGTCGGGACTATAAGCAACCCACCCTAACACGAATAAGAACCATTCCCATTTTATGGGCTTCTCTGTGACATGTAGATCTGGAAATTTGTCTTCTAACACTCTCACTCCACAAAACATTTAACTCCACATAATTTGCTCGCCGATTTCTTTCAATAATCAGTGCCCCTTCTATCGGTTTCAGTTATTTACGTTCCCAACATTTCCAGGCTTTGTGGCGACTGAACCTGTAGTTTTGTATCGTTTAATTAAGTTACTAGGTATATTTTTTACTTCATGTCGCGATAATTGCAATAAATCTGAAATTTCCGATTTTGATTTCCCAGAATCAAAGACTCTAACAACAATTGAACGAATTTTTTCGTCAATACCCTTTCCTATCGTAATTTTTAGCACACATAGAGGAAGTACCACGTGATCAGAAATGACTCAATGTTGAAATGGTTGTCAGCTGTCAAGATTGACAGCTTGTTGACATTTTTAATTTACAACATGTATCTAAAACATAACCTAAATTTATCTCATGTCACGATTGACGTATCTGTCACACAGTTACTTCCGTTATGCCAACATAAACGCAATAAAAATTCACTTTTTGTTTAAAAAGTTTTGCCAAAGATTCAGTCATTTTTTAAGAAGTCACCTGCCCCATAATTTTGGGAGTTTTTAATTTTATTGCTAAAACTTTTAAAAAGGAACGATACAGTTGGCATTTTCTATTGAATATTATTACAAATACCATGTTAATTAATTTGGGAACTAACAAAAGCATTTGCTACTTTATATTTTTTGGAAAAAGGTTCATATATACCGATTCTCTTCATGGACGAGTCTACTTTGTTATACAAGCTTTCTATAAGTGATTATAGGATCAAAGTAGCTCGTGGAAGCGTGCCGCCTATCACTTTATATGGACTTTACTAAATGCCCAAGGACTCACGACAAATACCACACGCATTTGTACAACTGACTACCTAAATGCTTCATATGCACAATAACTGTTGAAAATGTTCACCATTTCGTAGTTTACATTATATTCAAAAATGTTTTCAATATCCTTTCGTCAATCCTTTGCACCCAGTGTTCAACTTCATGTTGCAACAGGAGCTCCTGACTGCTGAAATAATTTTTGCTGATTCTGATCGAGTTGTCTAAATCATCAACCATTTTCTCAGAAACTGAAGGTCTTCCAGAAGATTTCCTTTTGTTGACACTGCCAGTTCGAACAAATCTGTTGATTACATCTCTAATCTGAGCGTCTAACAATGTTTCTTGAAATCAGGGTATTTAGCCAGATATTCTTGCTTCAAGCGGTTGCAGAATACACCCACTCTCTATCTACGAATGTCCCATTACGATAATAAAACATAAATAATAAATAATGAAGGTGTCTTGTTCAACAGAATAAACCATTTTCACGGTCTTTGCTTCCTTGCACAAAAACAAAATTTTCATATGGAAGCACCAAGAATGTTGAAAACGACTGTTTTGTTGTTTTGAACTTGGATCAACGAGAATTATTGTAATCCAAAACTAGAATTATCAACAACAACGTAGAGTGTTCTAAAATATCTCTATATACTAATGCTGTGAGTTTTTCATCAATTATGACAGATACTTTCATGGAATAGTTGGCACTCATTATAATAAATAATGTTTTGGCACATACAACACAACTTTACTAACATGCAAAAGTTGCTTTTTACCATTTTATCACAAAATACTGAGAAAAAGTGAAAAGCGTCAAAACATTGACCGCGTTTTATTATAATCCAAATCATATAATTCAAGAACTGAATTTGTCGACTGCGCTTCAAAGACACAGGAAGTTCTGTCTAAACAACTTTACAGATGTAAAACGAGTTTATCAATTATTTTTATCGAATAATAACATCGTCAGTTAAGGTTTTTTTTAATAATAGTAATTGATATATAGGGACAATATGGAAGGACATTCCGACCCCAAAACAAAAATACAACGCCATCCAAAAGAAAAAGCCAATTATTTATCGCACTGGTTTTTTTGGTGTGTAAATATCATAATTTAAGTGAACTTCTGACAAAATTATTTTAGCTGGGAACTACCATTCTTTTACAAGGGCTACAAGAAACAAATCACCGAAGAAGATCTGTATGGTCCTCTCAAGGACCACAAATCTAAGCTCCTAGGCGACAAACTCGAAGAGGCATGGTTAAAAGAATTAAAAACACAAAAAAATCCGTCCCTGTGGAGAACTTTACGAAAAGTATTTGGTCTAGAATTTTTATTATATGGACTTATTCTTGTAGTCGAAGAATTAATCGTTAGGTAGGTAACTTATTTTTTGCACAATGATCCTATCTTTCATCGCTTTTAAGAATGTGCCAGCCTCTACTCATTGGAAAATTAATGTCGTACTACACTCCGAACCAAACTTCTATTTCAAAAAATGAAGCTTGTATTTACGCGTCATTCGTAATTTTTGCATCCTTTTTATACGTAATGATCGGTCATTCCTACGCGCTTGGCTTATTCCATTTAGGGATGAAAATACGGGTAGCTGTTAGTTCTCTAGTTTATCGAAAATCACTCAGATTAAGTCAGAGCACTATAGCTGACAATACCGCAGGTCATTTGCTTAATTTGTTGGCAAACGATGTCGGCAGATTCGAGTACAATGTTGTAAACGTTCACTTTTTGTGGATGGGGCCTCTGGAAACTCTAGTCATTTGTGCACTTACCTACTGGATGTTAGGAGCAACTGCTATAATAGGAATAGCAATCCTCTTGGGATTTATTCCTATACAAGGTGCATTAGCAGTGTGGCATTACGTTGTTATATTGTAATACAACTTGTTTTTGTAGTTTATTTGGCAAAACGAGTGTCTGTCTATAGATTGCGGACGGCATTGAAGACAGATCAAAGGGTAAAACTGATGAACGAAATCATAACAGGTGTAAAAGTTATTAAGATGTACTCGTGGGAAAAGCCCTTTGCTAAATTAGTCGTAATGGCAAGAAAGTGAGCACTTCATTAATAATCAGTTTGTACGTTAAACATAATTTTTGGATTTCTAGGTTAGAAGTGGACCAGATAAAAATTAGTTCGTACCTACGTGGCTTTAATATGGCCTGTCAGATATTTTTGGGAAGAATTGCAGTTTTCTCTTGTATTCTAGTTTATATTTTAACCGGTGGTAACTTAGAAGCTCAGTACGTCTACGTCTTGACTTCATTCTACGAAATTATACGTCTAGGAAGTGTAATTTTCCTCCCAATGGGTATGATGGAAATGGGGGAAACTGTAACATCTGTGAAGAGAATATTAGAATTTTTGAAACAACCAGAAATAACTAGTATTAGAAAGTCCAATCACGAAGGTATCAAAATAAATAACGTATGCGTCAGATGGGACAAATCCCCAAAGAACACTTTAACTAACATAAACTTAGATATAAAGTCTAATCAACTAGTGACCGTGACTGGAGCAGTTGGTAGTGGTAAAACTACACTTCTTCATGTAATTTTACAAGAAATTCCTTTACTAGAAGGATCCCTTGAAACAGGAGGCACCATTTCGTATGCCTCTCAACAACCATGGCTGTTTTCGGCGAGCATTCGAGATAATATTCTTTTTGGAGAAAAATTTTATCAAAGTAAATACGATCAGGTTACTAAAGTTTGTTCTCTGGAGCACGATTTTGCTCTTCTTCCTTTTGGCGATCGAAGTCTTGTAGGAGAACGAGGAGTTATGCTTAGCGGAGGACAAAAATCCAGAATTAATTTAGCCAGGGCTATATATAAAGACGCTGATTTATACCTTTTGGATGACCCTTTGTCAGCAGTTGATGCGCATGTAGGAAAACAAATCTTTGAGAATTGCATTAGGAATTATTTAAAGAATAAAACGACGATCTTAATTACTCACCAAATACAGCATTTAGACAATACTGACATTGTCTATTTAATTGAAAACGGGAAGATAATGGAAGGCGGGACATTATTAGAACTTAGAGAAAAAAACACTGGGTTTCTAAATGTATTGGAAAAACCATCAGATGTGCAGAATGACCAGCAAATTGAAAGTAAAACTAACTTTGAAGAATCAAAAGAACATCCACAGGAAGTAAAAGAAAATCAAGTGACAGGAGCAGTTTCTAATCGCGTGTACCGCGACTATTTTCTTGCTGGTGGGCCGTTCTTGATAGGCTTCATCGTCATACTTTTACATACTATGGTCCAAACTATCGCCGTTGGTGGAGACTACTTTTTATCATTTTGGGTGAATTTGGAGCAAGATAACGCCACCAGCAGCCACAATTTTTTAACAACAGATAACTGTCTATATATTTACAGTGGTTTAACACTACTTCTCGTCATTATTGCGCTCGTTTGTTCTCTTTGCTTCTTCCGGTTCTGCCTTACAACATCTACAAATCTACATAACAAGATGTTCCGCAAAATCGTCTCCTGTTCAATGTATTTCTTTAACACAAATGAATCAGGAAGAATTCTTAACAGATTTTCTAAAGATATAGGATTGATTGACGAGAATCTACCTTTGTCAATGATGGACACTTTTCAAATCTCCCTTAACGTGTTAGCGATAGCTGTCATCATTGCCGTTGTTAATCCATGGATTTTAGTACCCACAGTTATAATGTTTGCGCTGTTTTATGTTTACAGAAAAATTTTTTTGGCTAGTAGTCGTAACTTAAAACGCATCGAAGGGAGAGGTGGGTATATGATTATTTTCTAATCGTAGTATTAAAATCGTGAACATTGCAGCTCGTAGTCCAATTTACTCCCATGTGACTTCCTCTTTAGAAGGCATTTCGACAATCCGAGCTTTTAGGGCTCAAACCAAGTTACAAGACGAATTTGACGAGCGTCAAGATTCACACAGCTCTTCGTTTTACATGTTTCTGGCTTGTGACGGCGCGTTTGGTTTTTGGTTAGATCTTTGTTGTGTTATCTTCCTTGGAATTGTAACGTTCAGCATTCTTTTCATGGGTTCAGGTAGGTAATTTGCTTATATATTTAAGTAGTTGAAATTGATTTCTTTTATGCAGAGAGTTATGGTGCTAACATGGGATTAGCTATCACCCAGTCGATTATGATGACAGGTCTGTTGCAGTGGGGAATGAAACAATCCGGACAACTAGAAAATCAAATGACTTCAGTAGAGCGTGTAGTAGAATACACCAAATTAGAACCTGAATCTGATGAAGTTACTAAACAAACACCAAAAGAATGGCCAGCGTACGGTAAAATCAAGTTTAACTGCGTTTCGTTACGATATTCACCTCACGATCCCTGGGTCCTTAGAAAACTCACCTTTGATATACGCGCGAAAGAAAAAGTAGGAATTGTTGGACGCACAGGTGCTGGAAAATCTTCGTTAATTTCCGTCTTATTCCACCTGGTACCATATCAAGGCGATGTTTTTATTGACGACATGAACACTAAAACTATACATTTGGAGAGTTTACGTTCCAAAATTACCATCATCCCTCAAGATCCAGTACTTTTTTCCGGTACTATCAGGTACAACTTAGACCCGTTCGATGAGTACCAAGATTCTCAATTATGGGACGCTTTGGAAGAAGTTGAATTGAAAAATTTAGTGTCGGGTTTCCCAGCTGGTCTGTCAAATAAAGTGTTAGACGGTGGTGCCAATTTCAGTGTGGGTCAAAGACAACTTTTGTGTTTAGCTCGAGCAGTAGTCAGAATGAATAAAATTTTAATTCTGGATGAGGCTACAGCTAATGTTGATCCTCGAACTGACGAACTAATCCAAAAGACAATTAGATCGAAATTTCGAGAATGTACTGTACTAACAATTGCTCATCGGTTAAATACGGTTATGGATTCCGACAGAATTTTGGTGATGAGTGATGGTTGTGTTTTTGAGTTTGATGAACCTCGTAGACTTCTCGAAAATACGAATGGAGTTTTCTACAGACTGGTGAAACAGGCTGGAAGTGACATCTAGCAGTTTTAAACAAATTGTACGAGGACATATTTATTAATAGATATATAAATTGCTTATTTATAATTTTTTTATACAAACTATACTACGTTCATTTTCCATATTAATTGTTTGTTTCAAACTGTATCATAACAATAAATGAAGATATAACGGTTCCCAACACATCTAATAGCGTTGATCTTGTTATCGCAAAAAATTTTGCCGCTAATACTGTGGGAAAATTATTCAGTACAAAATTTGCGAAGTGTCGCAAGGAGTTTTTGAGTTCCTTTTCCTCTGCAAAACGTCTCATGTAAAGGGATACATTGATTATATTTTCTGCTTCTTTAGCAATTGCGTCACTCATTAGAATCATCGACGTTGTACTAATCTAAAAAAAAATAAGAACGTTATTTATCCTAACCAATAATTTGAACGTTTACCACATTAAGTGAAACGATTAATATATCTGACGAAACAATTTTCCACACCAAAGGATATTCGTACTCTCTGCTTGACATAAACAAATAGTGTAGATAATTTAATAACTGTAGACCCAATAACACTATTATTAGAACCATAGCCCAGCCAAATATTTCATTAAAAACATTGACAGTTTTCTTTAGGGCATATATGGTGCTCTGAATCTTTTTTAATATGTCTAAAACTTGCTTAATTTTAAAATTTCCTTTCTTCATTTGATCCAATTTTTGAGCAAGAATTGCACTTAAATGTTTGTACCTTGACAAAATGATGTTTAAAATTAAACATAGTAAAAAATTATACAAATAAACGTAGTAGAATTGCAACAGTAAGATTCCATATCCTGCTACATAATTCAAAATAGTAACTTGTGAGAAGTTATAAATTGCATATGCAGAGACAAATATATAATACAACTGCGACATGAGAAAACCCAAATAAAAAGGAAATTTAGTCCTAGTCTCTTGGTTTCGTTTGAAATTATTTTTTGTCGGTTGTAGTTTTCGTATTAAAGTGATCCACTGACTAGTTCTGAAAAAAATCGGACTTAAAACAACATATAGTTGAAAAATCATGAAACCGATGTCTATTAGAATGCAAACAGCTGCTTTAATGTGGAGAACCCCACGATAAAAGTTTTTTTATTCTAATGAAGCGGCTGCCCCCAAAAATACTGCTATTATAGTAAAAATAGAATACAGTTTTTGCCATATTGATATTTTGTTAATATCACAAGGAAGTGTAATACCCAAAAATTTATAATATTTGAAAATGAGCTTCAAAAGTCTCAGACTCATTTTTTATTTACAGGTAAGCAAATACTTACTTAAATTAGACAATTGTATCGAAATTCGATATGAGTACATATTTAACGAATTTAATGAATGTTTTGGTAATGGCTCTATCTAATGAATTAGTTTTTAATTTCGGTCTGAAATTTGATGAATACATAAATATATACAAACAATCCGTTTCTAAAAACATAAAAATAGATCAGACTATTTAATTAAACTTTATTAACATTGTGGACACACAATCTTTAATTTCAGTTTTATTCCGACTGACATCAATTCAAAGAATTACCACCATCCCTCAAGATGCAATACTTTTTCCGGTACTATCAGGTAAACCTCTTCGATGAGTACCAATATTCTCTATTATGGGACGCTTTGGAAGAAGTTGAATTGAAAAATTTAGTATCGAGTTTCCCAACTGGTCTGTCAAATGAAGTGTTAGACGGTGGTGCCAATTTCAGTGTGGGTCAAAGACAACTTTTGTTTTTAGCTTGAGCAGTAACTAGTAACTCAAGCTCAAACTGAGATCCAACATCTAGCAGACTTAAACAAATTGTAATAAGTAAGTTTAGTTTATTAATTAATTATTGATTCATTTCTTGACACATTTTCCATTTATCTATTAGCTTCAAATTGTATCATGACAATAAATGAAGATACAACAATTCCTAATACATCTAATAATGTTGATCTAGTTATAGCAAAAAACTTTGCCGCTAATACAGTGGGAAAATTATTCAGTACAAAATTTGTGAAATATTTCAGAGTGGTCTTAAGTTCCTTTTCGTCTGCAAAGCGTCTCATTTGAAGTGACACATTAATTATGTTTTCTGCTTCTTTAGAAATCGAGTCGCTCATTAGAATCATCGACGTTGTACCAATCTGAAAAAAATTTAAGTATGTTATCAGATCCTAATTGAACTTTTACCGCATTAAGTGACACGATTAATATATCTGACGAAACAACCTTCCATACCAAAGGATATTCGAACTCTTTGCTTGACATAAAAAGATAATGTAAATAATTTAATAATTGTAAACCCCACAACACAACTATTAGAACCATAGCCCAGCCGAATACTTCATTAAAAATATTGACAGTCTTCTTTAAGCCATATATGGAGCACTGAATTTTTTTTAACGTGTCTAGAAGTTGTTTAACTTTAAATTTTCCTTTCTTCATTTGCTCCAAGTTTTGATCGAGAATTGCACTTAAATGTTTGTACCTTGACAAAATGATATTCAAAATTAAACTTAGTAGAAAATTATACAAATAAACGTAGTAAAATTGGAACAACAAGATTGCATATCCTGTTAGATAATTAAAAACAGTAACTTGTGACCAGTTATACAGTGCATAAACAATCACAAATATATAGTACAATTGTGTCGTGATAAAACCCAAATAAAAGGGAAATTTGGTCCTAGTGTCTTGGTTTCGGGTAGAATTAGCTTTTGTCGGTTGTAGTTTTCGTATTAAAGTGATCCATTGACTAGTTCTGAAAAAAATTGGACTTAAAACAACATATAGTTGAAAAATAATTAAACCGATGTCTATTAGAATGCAAACAGCTGCTTTAATGTGGAGAACCCCGCGATAAAATTGTCTTTGTTCTAATGAAGCGACTGCCCATGAAAAAACTGCTACTATAGTAAAAACAGAATACAGTTTTTGCCATATTGATATTTTGTTAATAATACAAGGAAGCGTAATCCCCAAAAATCTATAAAATTTGAAAATAAGCTTCAAAAGTCTGAGACTCATTTTGTGTTTGCACGGAATATCAAATACAGTCAGTTTGTTTCAATTAGGTAACTGTATCGATATTCGATATCAGTACAATACATGTCTAATGAATAACTATTTTGGTAATGACTCTATCTAATTAATCACTTTTTAATTTGGGTCTTAAATTTTATGAATACATAAATATATACAAACAATATTTAATTCATCTGTATTAACATTCTAAGTCGTCTTCTGAGACATAATTACTTTTTGACAAAAATAATAGCATACTGTGGGTTTTAGTTTCATTGCTTCAATGCATCATGTCACTTATTTTCATTTAATGCCAATAGACAAACATTACCGTGCATTAATTTTAACTGCTGCAAAAGTGTATAATTCGTTTCTTTCAAATAATTTATAATAATGGTATTATAACATTTATTGAAACATGATGTATGTAAATACATATTTAAGCGGTGCAGATACAGTTAACTAAGTTCAAATCTGAATCAATATATTCCACATAAATTTCCTAGTAACTATTAAATAAACAACAGATGCAGTAAACTCGGCATTTCTTTCATTCTGCCGCCAAGGGAATTGCTATTCTGGTAGAGTAGGGTTACAGATTTAACCTGTCAGGTTTTCTTACTTTTCTTCCCAATTTGGTCACCTGGATCGTCTTGTCATCGTCCGTTGCGGATGTTGGTTCTGATCGATCGTATAATGAATTTCGACCGTCATGAAGCAATTTTTCGTCTTCGTTTTCTATTTCCAATAGATATACCTAACTTTTATACAGGACGTACTAAGTGACCTAAAGAGGTTCTTAGCTTAACAACTCTAATATTTCCGGCTTTGCCAGGAATTGTTTCTTCTACTCGTGCTAATGGTCAATTTATTCGTTTCTTCTGGTCGTGTTCCATGAAGACAAGATCTCTAACTTTAACTGGTCGGGAAAATTTTCTTTTATATTACCTCAAAATTAGTTATCCAAGATATTCATTCCGGAAACGTTTCTGTAAGTCCATCTCTAATCTCTAATTTATTCTTGTACCGAAGCTTTTTCGAGGATGTACGGCTTCATTGTTGTCTAAACCTACTACACCAGACTATTGAATATCTTAAAGAAACATTTTTGGTGTTAAGGGAACCAAATCTAGGACGTCCTCTGAGACATATGTGAGAGGTCTTGAATTGACCAAAGCTGTACAATCCCATGGGAGAGTTTCAAGTTCTTCGAAACTTAGACATGCTCTTCCTAAAACTTTAAATAATGTTCGTTCTCTCTGTGTGTGTACTTTGGTACTTCATCCTTTACTATTTTTCTATAGGACTCTAGATTGTATTTAGACTCCGATATTCTCGATCTGCCTTCTTGCTTATCTATATCCTTATCTCACACTCAGTTCTTCTTTCATACTCCTTCCCATTTCTCTCATTCTCTCTATTTCTTCACATGCATATCCCTTTCGTTCAAAATACTTGTCTCTTTCGTTCCAAACATGTTTTCCCCGTTCCTTTCTTATTTCTTTCCAACATTCTTGCAATATTTTACAATCAATGTTTATCGAGAATTCCAGGCATAATGAAATATAATGATTGTACTCTTGATAGTCCTGTTTGTATTGTTAACGCATTTGCGGATTACTTTAACTCAGTGTATTGCACGTCTAAACAACCTGTTAATTTCACCGATCAGTATGTTAATGCAAATGAATGTATTAATCTGCCACTTGTCACTGAAGATGAGGTTTCTTCATCGTTGAAAAAATCTAAGAATAGTTTCACTATGGGCCCTGACGGAATCCCAAGTTTCCTGCTAAAAGACTGTGCTTGTGTGTTTGCCAAACCCTTGGCTTTTATATTCAATTTAATTATAAAAACATCCACTTTTCCATTAAGTTGGAAACAGCAATAATCTGTCCTTCCTTCAAAAAGGGGGATTTAGCAGATGTTTCCAACTACCGACCTATTTCTTTGTTGAATAATTTTGCCAAAATTTTTGAAAGTATTCTATACAAATACATTTATAGAGAGGTTAAAAGATATATCAGTCCTTATCAGCACGGTTTTATGGAGAAACGTTCGACTGTAACGAACTTGGTCTGTTTTAGTCAATTTACTATAGAGGCTGTTGATAACAAACGTTAAGTTGATACTATTTATCTGGACT